CCTGGCCCCTGCTCAGCCTGCTTTCTTATGCTACATGGGCCCACCTGCCCAGGGGTGGCACCACCCACAGTGGGCTGGGCCCTCCCACATCACTCATCAAGAAGATGCCCCTCAGACATGGCCACAGGCCAGTCCAATAGAGGCAATTCCCCAACTGAGGTTCCCTCAACCCAGGTGTGTCAAGTTGACACTAAAGCTATCCAGCACAGCCTCCCTTTGAGTTGAATAGTTCTGGGAAGATGTTTTGGCCTCATTGTGTATTAAGAATTTTAATTAATTTAAAAATCTTCTGCCACTTTAACATAGAATTGCTCTATTTTGGTTTTCTTTCCTAAGTTTAAACCTTTTGACATTAATTTTATGCTTTATGTCAGAGCATTATCTCTAATTTCATTTTAAGCTTCTACACTAAAATATTAACTTTGCTTTCTTTTGGCTTTTAGGAAGTCAAGTCTATAGATACAACTTTGTATTTCTACTTCTAGTATTTCCTTTGTCAAAAAAATGAATGTTCTAGGTCTGCATGCTTCTCTCTGGTTTAACTCCTGGAGGGCTGAGTCAGATTTATCATCAGGAATTGCAGACTAGTCATTTAAGTGTGAGAACATACATGTACAGCCTCTTTTATACAGATGGTGTGGTATGGTAGCCCTAATTTGTATTCCTTGAGTGTCTTGGCTTGGTTACTGTTAAATGGTTTATTGGTCTCTGATCTATGAAGTTTCTCATAGCCTTCTGAAGAGACCGGAATGAAAATCACACCTATAGATAAAAGTTGATAAATAGGGGGCTGGGGAGATGGCTCAGCAGTAAGTTGATAAATAACGTGTGCTGCTCTAAAATATGTTCTTTTTTAGACATAAAGCTGTTACTAGTTATTTCTAGTATCAATTCCAGATTATTGACTTTGGACAACGGTACAATTATATGAAATCATGGCTGGTTATAAACCTGTAGCTATCCAAACATATCCTGTACTTGGTGAAAAAATCACCCAAGATACTCTATATTGGAACAACTATAAGGTAAAGTATGAGAGAAAATGAGGGGGGAGAGGATTTGTACACTTATTTCTGGATTTATGTCAGTTTCTCTAGCATTTGCTGGCAGAACTGTTAACTAAAAACAATCTCTGAGAAACTTGCAGTTTCAGTGGATAATTTTTTTTCCATTTTTTCTTAGAGTTTTATGTAAAAGTCCATACTGCCTAATCATTTTAACCTTGCAGATGCTTCACGTAGAACATGTGTATAATGGCACATGAGTTAAATTGTAAAATTTGGGTCTTGGAAGATTTTCTTGCTTTTTCTACCCCGAAATTAGTTTAACTAAAAACAATCTCTGAGAAACTTGCAGTTTCAGTGGATAATTTTTTTTCCATTTTTTCTTAGAGTTTTATGTAAAAGTCCATACTGCCTAATCATTTTAACCTTGCAGATGCTTCACGTAGAACATGTGTATAATGGCACATGAGTTAAATTGTAAAATTTGGGTCTTGGAAGATTTTCTTGCTTTTTCTACCCCGAAATTAGTTCCTTTTATACCTCCTAATTAAAAATGATGCTTTTAAAAACTGGAAAACTAGAAAGATGAAAAAAAGTTGGGGAGTAGGAAGTTTGTGGAAAAAGAAGTATACCTGGGCAATATTAAAAGACACTGAGTTTCATTCATAAATTAAAAATTCCAGAGGGTAGAGCTTGGCGGTAGCTCAGTTGGTAGAGTGCTTGCCCCGCATGCACAAAGCCTTGGATTTGATCACTGGTCTTGCACAAACTGGGTTGATGGTGTGCACCTGTAATCCCAGCACTTGAGAGGTAGAGGCAGGAGAATCAGAAGTTCAGGGTCATCCTTACATAGGAAGTTTGAAGCCAGTCTGAGCAATGTGAGACTGTCTGAAAAAGATGAAGTGGGCTGGAGAGATGGCTCTAAGGTTAAGAGCACTGGCTCCTCTTACATAGGACCAAGGTTCAGTTCCTAGCACCCTCATGGCGGCTAGCAACTGTCTGTAACTAGTTCCAGGAGATCTAACGCCTTTTTCTGACCTCTGGGTATTGCATGACATTAACATACTTACATACATGTAGGCAATACATTCATACATATAAAATAAAAATAATAAATATTTTTTAGAAAATGAAAATGCATTAAACCCTATAAGACAACAGTCTGGATATACAGTTTTCATCTAACGTATTTGGCAATAAGTGAATTTTGAAAGGGGGAAATTGACAATATCTGTCATGATTTTAAAGATGGCCTTATACTCAGCTTGAAAAATAAAAAATATATTTCCAAAAGTTTACTAAGATGTGTTAAAATATTTATTGATGTGTTCAGTGTAATATTAGAATTATTTAAAATTGGGGACTGGAGAGATGGCTCAGTTAAAAACATTTGCTGTTCTTCCAGGGGACCCAGGTTCGAATCCCAGCACCCACATGGCTAACAACCATCCAGTTCTAGGGGTTCCGACACCCTGTTCTGGTCTCTGTGGGCATTGCACAACACAGGTGATATACATGCAGGCAAAACACTCATAACACATAAAATAAAAATAATAATAAAATAGAATTCTTAAACGTCTATTCGTATAGCCAGGCATGGTGGT